GATTAATGTTAAACCACCATGTAAAACCTGGAAACAGTGAATAATCGTCTCGTCCTACTATACAAATTCACACTAATGCAAATCCATGATCCCTTATCAAACAGATCCAAACTTATCATCATTGATCCTATTTCTAGGAATCCACCCCAGGAATCATATTGATCTAACTTGAATTAATATAATCTCCAGAAAAAATTCTCCTTTTCCAACTGTTTCATTCTTCGATCGATTCATTCTCTCATTTACTATTATTATGGTTATTCCTTCTTTTTTTTTTGCTACCAAATGTCAAAATGGAAACTTTTCATTATCACTATGGGACATTTTGAAGATTATGAAGCATAAATCTATAGAAACTATTTAGTTCTATGATTATCAAACTTCTTTTTTTGAAAAATGAATATCGAATAGTGAAACAAAAATGAGAAAAGAACGTTTATTTAAAGTCGGTAAAAAATTTTATTAGTTTTTTCCACTCTCTTTTATGAATATGAAACTATAAAGTCAAATACATTTCAACGATTTCAATAATTACGTGACAAAGAATATGATCGTTGAATTGGATATAATGAAGGAACAGTTAGTTACTATGCCCTACTACTACGACTACGACTGTTATTATTACGACCATTATTATTACTACTAATATTACTATTACTACTACTATCAGTACTACAATTACTATTACCACCACTACTAATCTTACTACTGTGGTGCGTGCTATTGACATAAGTAGTATATAACACAAGTCAGGAATGTAATGTCTGGTAGCAGAAGATTGGGAAGATCAAAAAAGGAAGAACGGGAATAGAAAGCAATTAGTATAGAAAATGCAAGAACAATGAAGTCCGAGACAATTATTGAACATTTTTCACATTAGGCATTATAGTACCGTTTTTCTATTTTACCAAGTAACTCTGTAATGTTGTGCTAAATATAATTCGGTTGTCCTCACCTGTGTTCTCCTTCACTACACTACTACTACTACTACTACTACGACGACGAAGAAGAAGAAGAAGAATACTAACGTGACTTCATAAAAACGTTATGAAATACAGATGATAACTTTCAAAGTGTAAACTGAAATGAATGAAAAAAGTTATAAAGCAACATACACAAGTTATATAACTATTATTTTCACGTATATTGTAACTTTATATCCAAAACTAATTAAAAGTGTAAATAGGCTGATTATTAAATAATGAATGATTGATTTTTGTAATCAATGTAAGATTGAAATAAACTTGGATAAATCTAATGTGTTTAAATCAAGATCATCTATTATTATTACTCAGTATTATAGTTTTGATACAATATACAATTCACAGTTGAAGGTATTTCAACAAGTTCCGTTTACTTAGTTCTTCATCGATACTGATGATAAATATTGAAGTGATTGGCAGTGACATGTTACCAGTTCATCAATTCATAACTGAATGTATATTGTCTGCCCACCTACATGATGTTTCTGATGATAATGATGATGATTCGGATGATTCGCATGATGAAGATTGTACTTTATTGTAAGTTTTACAATGAAAGATTGTAAACTGTTCATTAACACACCTGGATAGGATGGTAGATTAATAGACATAATGATGTATTTGAACAAACTATTTTTTTTCAACAAATTTCCTCTTCTTAATTCCCGACGATCTTGACGATAAATATTGAATGATCCTCGATTACATATAAGCCATTTAAGAACTGATATTTGAATAATATTCGTTATTTACAATGTATATTGCCTGACAGCTACCCATAATATGTCTGATGATGATGATTGTACTTTAGTGTAAGTTGTACAATGAAAGATTGTAAACTTTTTTATAAACATATTTGAATAGGATATACGATTAATAGACATAATGATGTGTTTAAACAAACAAATAACTTGTTGAAATATAGTCATGACAACAAGAATCGGTAGTCCAGTTATTCAAACAGGCTGTCAATATCTGCCTCCAAAATATCCTGTTCTGTCAGATATTGATATGTATATAACCCTGTCGAGTATATACTATACCTTTATGTACTAAAGTACAACAACTAAGTTATTTTCACACTGAATTCTATTTCAATACTACAGATTGACAAGGAATATTCATGAATGTAAATAAACAAAAAAAATGCACCTTAATTAGTTATCTAATCTATTCCCTGAAATTAATATTGTCTCATATAAATGATTTAGATTAAACTACTTATTTGTTAATTATACTACTGATTAATAACAATCTAAAATATTTTAAATGCTATATAAAAAGGGGGGAAAGCAAGATCCTCAAACACAACATAGAGAACACTAATCTAATCACAATTGATAGCGAAACTATGAAAGATGTAGAATCCTTCATATACGTAAGAAGCATCATCGATGAACAAGGAGGATCTGATGCAGATGTAAAGACAGAGATTGGTAAAGTAAAAGTCATATTCTTACAATTGAAGAATATATGGAACTCAAAACAACTGTCTATCAATCGATATCTTCGATTTGAACGTCAAGACAGTTAATTCTATTGTACGGAGCTGAAACTTGGAGAACTACAACAACCATCATCAAGAAAGTAAAAGTATATACAAATAGTTGTATACGCAAGATATTCAACATGCATTGGTTGGATACCATCAGCAACAGCCTTCTCTGGGAGAGAACAAACCAGCTTCCATCTGAAGAGGAAATTAGGAAAAGACGATGGATAGAACATACGTTACGCAGATCATAAAACTGTATCACGAGACAAGCCCTAACTTGAAATCCTGAAGTGAAATGGCAAAGAGGAAGGCTAAAGAACACATTGCGCCGAGAAATAGAAGCAGATATGAAAAAGATTAATAACAACTTGGAATAGCTCGAGAGGGTTGCCCAGGATAGGGTTGGTTTTCGAGTGCTGGTGGGGGGCTTATGCTCCTTCACGAGGAGTAACAGGAGTAAGTAAAAATAATCATTACATTATACTATGGAAAAAACTCAATCACTTGATGAATAGGTCAATGAATTATTCAATGAAATCCTTTTTACAAGTTTAATGAACGAGAACATCAACGAGGATAACTGAATATATTCGAATACAAAAATAACAGTTTACAAAATGTTAATCAACTATCTCAGATTTGGCTGTTACTTTGTTTCCACATCAATCATTCTTTGTTCTCATTCTCTCTCCTTGGATGTTCTTAACCTTCTGCTGCTAAGTATTTCACTTTCGATTGATGATATATATTACTGATATCTATCGATATCAGTAGCACACATCACAGAAATAATCAGACAATTCATTGACTTCAGGACTTATTATTATTTTTTATAACAAACTAATAAATTGAAGTGATCAGAAAAAACAGTGGGAAGTGGGTGGGTGGTTGTTGTGGAGATTGTAGTAGTTGTTTAATAGTTGAATTGAAGAGTTGAATAAAGCCATGATCACCAGTGAACACTTGGAAGCACTATACGTCTGTTTCATCCTAGTTATTAGATTTTCCATGATGGACATAGCTTTAATCCACCTACGCATTGAAATGTATTCATCCATATGATAAGCTCTAACTAAATAGATGTGTATTTCATTAAGCTTTGTGAAATAATTAAAGTTCATCATGTAGATGGAAACACAGAATACATTTCATCAATTATACAATATAACAAGGTTTCATTGTAACATATTATATTTAAAATAGGCAGCAATAATGTTGTACTATAGAATTAGGGTTGAATAGAGACTGCTGGTTGACGGCCTATGATCCTCCACAAGGAGTAACAGACGTTATTAAATAAGTAAGTAAGTAATGGAATTATATTGATTGTTTCACTGTATTGGATCATAGAACTAATCATTACTAAACATTCGGGGATCACTCAATATTTATCGACAGGATCGTCGGGAATTAAGAAGAGGAAATTTGTTGAAAAAAAAGTTTGTTTAAACACATCATTATGTCTATTAATCTTATAGCTTATCCAGGTTTGTTTATGAAAAGTTTACAATCTTTCGTTGTACAACTTGCACTAAAGTACAATCATCATCATCATCCAAAGCATCATCATCAGAAACATCATGTAGGTGGGCCGACAATATACATTCAGATATGAGTTGATGAACTGGTAACATGTCACTGACAATCACTTCAATATTTATCATCAGTATGGATCAAGAAATAGGAGAAGGGAACTTGTTGAAATACATTCTACTGTGAATTGTATATTGTATCAAAACTATAATAATGAATAAAGACATTAATAATAGTAATAACAATGAAATGTACTTCGGCGAAATGACTAGTTAGTCTAATAATAACTCTTTAATTATTCTCTGAAAGAAGACAAGCATATGACTACTGACAAGATCAAACAGTTGATTGATATACTGCTTGTCGGCTAAATTAATTTTACATTGGTTTTCAGGAGAACTAGACACCATCTAGACTTTCACGTGACAACCCAGATAGTATAACTCACTCCCATTTCACAAGAGAATCAGACACCGTTTAGATTTTAGCGCTGCAATCTGAATAGTAGAGTTCAATCCTGTGGTGCAACCATACAGGTACTAAACACCCAGGTAGATCATTTGCATCATTCATATATATAAATATACCGATCATTGATCACGTAAATTAATTATGCACAGTATGAATAGGCCAAAGTTAACCTATTCCACTTACATGACAATTAAACTCATTAATGTTAGCGATGGTGACATGCCTTACAATGACCCTTGAGAACACTGAAAAGTAACTACCAATATGAATGAAATCAATTTAGCAAAAGTTTCCAAAGTGGATACCAAACCATCCATCATGTCGATGGTAAACTATCCATCTCATATGAGATCATCAATTTGAGATAGTGAAGAAGATTTGTAGCTCAAGTGGATGATCTTTGATGGACTAAACCATCCAGCTCAAAGAACAAAACTCCATCAAAGATCATCAATTCTACAATAACAATAGAATTTACATCATTTACAAAACAATTTAAAGAAAAGAATTTAACTTACTCTAGCTGTTTGATTTAATCCAGTAAATTCAATTTCACCCATATATTTTTGCATAATTGATGGTCTTCTTATACTGGATTGTTGATGTTGTATTCCACTATTATTTATTCCACTAGTTATTATCATATTACCAATTGTATTATTATTATTATTATTATCTTGTCCAATTGAACCAGTTCTACTAATACGATGTTTTATGGTAGATGTACGTTGAAATGGTATTTGTTCTGTCATGGATAAAAAAAGAAATTGAATTGAATATGATCTATTTCAATAGATTCTTTCAATCTTGAATATTTTGTTTCATTAAAGTTTATTTCAATAATTCAATGGTTGAAATGATCTTGATATTCATTAAAATAATCAATAGTATAGATCATTTTTTTAATGAAATAATTATGGAAATATCATCAGTTTATATAAATGATGTAATAAGGATCAGTGAATGGATGATCTTTTCCATGAATGATTTTTTTTTTACATCAGATCATCATCATCATCATATTCAATGAAGGAAGACTAATTTTTCATTGGTGGTGAATTTTGTTGATTTTTACTTTCAAAAGAAAAAGAAAGAAAAAAAAGAGAAATACCATAAAACTAATTTTTTTTAAAAATTTGTATTTCAATAGAGAACATCAACACAACTACAAACATACATAGACACACACGCACATATATAGACATAGATACACAAATAGACTAATCCCATATAAACAATAATCATCTATTTTAACCAATCAAATTATTTGGGAGAAGATTATTTCTATTCCTATCTATTTTATTTGTTATGATAATAAATATTAAAGGTTAAACGCCTGGCGCGAGACTGATAGGTTCTGGGTTCGAGTTTCGCGGAGTGCGGAATCGTGGATGCTCAATTCTGAGGAGTCCCATACTAGGCCGTTCAGTGCTTCCAGGTTTTCCATGGTGATCTAGCTTTAATTGGCACATAATTTCAACCAGTTAAATATTAAAGGTACAATTTAAGTTTGATGATAGCGTCGGTATTTCACTTTGTTAATGAACTAAACAAGGTTCTGGTTTTTGTTGTTGTTGGAATTGTTAAAATTCAATGAATTACTTACTCACTTACTTAATTACGCCAGTTATCTCACCCCACCCCCACCAATGGAACATAGGCCACCGATCAACATTCTCCAACCAGCTCACTCTATCTTGGACATTCCTTTCTACTTCTATCAAATTGTTGTTCATTATTCTCATATCTGTCTACATTTCTCGACGCAACGTGTTCTTTGGTCTTCCTTGTCTCCTTTAGCTTTGAAGATTCCAAGTGGTGAGGGATTGCCTTACGAGGCAGTGGGATGCTTTCCTCAATGTGTGTCCTATCCACTTCTAGAGGTTCTTCCTGATTTCTTACTTCGCTGGTTTGTTCTGGTTTGTTCTTTCCCACATCAGGTTGTTGCTGATAGTGTCTGGGTAATAGATCTGAAGTATTTTGCGTAGACTCTACATTAAATCTATTTAAATTTTGTTCACAATCGATTATTAGTATTAAAAATTAACCTTTTTTAGAGATTAGCAGGTAATATTTTGCTTAAAATTTCATTATCTTATCACTTGTGCTTCTCTCTGACCCACATCTCTACGTAGGTACCAAACACCTCGTGACAGTATGAAATCAATGTTCAGTTTTTCTGTTCTGTCACATATTATCAAGTTTCTGTTCAAGGAACATTTATCATGGCACTTCCACTTACTCAGAAAAATAATTTGTAAAATCTGGTATATTTTAGAGCACGAGAACTTCTTAACTTAGACAGACTGATATACTAAGAAACCATTTTCTTTTGAATTTGATTCAGCTATGTTTGATTTAAATGTTCGCAATTATTAGAATACAAGAGTTCACAACTATAGTTCACTCAGACAGAATCACACATCAATGTATTACTAGAACACCAAATATCTGAACCATGTCTTTTTTTGGCTGTACAGACCCTACTTATAAAGTTGAACAGACTCTGAATTAAACAACGTTCTGGTTGTTGTTGTGAGAGTCACAGGCTCAAAGACATCATGAATACATTTAAAATATCTATAGTTGTGTAGTTGAAGTTGTTTAAATTATGAGTAACTTTTGAATTGTCATTAAGTAATTAGATGATGAATTACAATTAGAGATGATCTGAAGTAACTGTCAATCTCAAGTCGGGATAAAGAAGAAAAGTTGGGTATAGGGTTAGTGACCTTATTCAGTAGAAAATGAACTCACTAAAACAAAATGTTACTGTATTAGATTATATGTATTTTCATATTTCTCTTATTATAAACTTTCATTTGACCTATTGACTACTACTACAGAACATTCCTATTGAAATATTATTAAGTAATTAGATTATATTTGGAATCGGTTTATCACTAGGTGGTGGTCAATGGCGTGTGTGTCAGGTTCTCAAGATTACAAGTACACCTTGCTGATGAGTTTCAAGTAGCACGAATCCTATGTCTGCAGTTTCCTGATAACTACCTCCAACCATTATCTTATCTTAACATAATGCATGCAATATCAAGTCACCTAGACTAGTGGTCACATTTCAACTTGGTCGATAGGATTCGATTTAGACTAAAAAGGATCTGACACACATGATATTGATCACCAGTTAGTGATCAATCAATTGTTAATACATCTCAGTCCTACAGGAGGTCATTTGCGGAACAGATAGCTTAATGGTAACGTCTCTGACTGTGAAGCTGTGTAATACGGGATAGAATACGTCAGGGAGTATTAGTTCCATGAAGATTACAAGTATACCTTACTGACCAGTGCCAAGTAGCACGAAACCTATGTCCACAGTTTCCTGTTGACTACATTAAACCACCATGTTAGCTAGATTATATGTATATTCATATTTCTCTTATTATAAGCTTTTATTTGACCTATTGGTTACTGTTATGTGTATGTCTAATATATATGATTTAAATAGCGGAGCTGATATTTGTGTTCTGAACTGAATGGACTGAGTTAGACGAGAAGCTACTATACAGAGAACCAATAAGAACTGATTGGATCCAAAGCTATTAATGCCGTATTGATATGTCATTCTTTTCTTATAAGAACAAAGTTATATAAGTTAATATTCGGATTAACGATTTTTTTTATGTAGTATTTGATGGGTTATAGAACATTACACTTACCAACTCAGTACTAATAACAATTCTAATGTTTCAATTAAATACCGAATGTATTTAAAAATAATTGACATCCTATTAGTTTAAGACTGTTGATCAATTCACGAAATCCATCGTAAAGATAGTAATTCTATTGTCGGATTATTTAATTGTGTAAAACAGTCAATGAGTGTAGCGGTTAGCATTCTGGACTTTGAATCCAGCGACCTGAGTTCGAGTCTCGGAGAGACCTCATGCTGTGATCACTTTGTCCTCAAGTGCCCTAGTACGGCCAAGAGTGAGGAGAGTCAGCTCTCCCTCTCCAAATGCTCTCATATGGACACGCGTAAATGACCTCTGCCACACAAGTCCTACTCAATACCTTCTCGTTGCATTGCTGTTGTTTACGAAATTCAGAGGACGAAAATTGAATGTCAGGCGCTCTAACCGGACCAGTAGACATCTAGGGTTCACCCAGGGGAGTTGGAAAACCCTGATTCCAGACCAATGGTGCACATGGTCTTCAGTATCCTGAGGGAACAAATGGCGTATGAACCAATCGTTGGTCACCGGCTACCATGGGACTGTATCTTCTTACGATGCTCGACCGCCATGTCGATCAAACATTTAGGTTTATCTCATTAACCCATTTTAGTTTGTCAGTGGTTGAAAACACGTTTTAGACACTTTTCAAACATAGTAATCCAGTGCCTCTAGGTTTTCAATCGTTGTCTATTATCAATCAGTGACAAAAACTAAGCAATTTGACAATCTAAACAACAAAGAAAATTTATAATTAAAGATAATTTCAGATCGGTCAACTGAACTTACATCACACAGAGTTGATGTTCACTCCCGGACTCGAACTCAGTACCATTCACTTCAAACACTATCACTTCATTTATTTAACTATTAAGTCCAGATAGCAACTAACTTGTACAATGGGGGGGTGAGGTTTCAATTCATTTTTATATTGTTTGTTTGTTTGTTTATTTAAAGGAAGATTTATGATTAAAATTAATTTTATAGATAGAAATGATTGTTTTTCTAACAAAACTATTAATTACAGATTAACAAAAAAAACTATTGATTAAAGTCTATTTATATTTTGTCATTAAAATAATGTCTGACAACCGTGTCTGTTGTGAGATAGTAACTCATTGATGAAAACAATGATAGAGAGGGGCTCAATTTTGACGTAATGGTTGAAGTTAGATATTAACATCGTTGATTGCCGGCCAGATCAGTGGTCTAAACGTTTAGCGTTCATGCACAAAACCAACAATTCCTGGGTTCGAATCCGACGAGGTGGAATTATGAATGTATACTGATGAGGAGTTTCATATGAAAACAAAACGGTCGTTCAGTGATTCCAGGTTTTCCATGGTGATCTAGCTTCAATTGACTCACGAATTCAACTATTGAAATGACTAAAATCTCCATAAAAAATCCCTTCCTGATTATAATTAATTTTAAATTATGCAGAGAAAAAGAAATGTTTAAGTTACTATATCAAATTGAGCAATAAAAACCATAAAATGAATGAATGAATAAAGATAAAAGTCATGAAAAATTAATGAGAATCATGAAGGATATAAAAAAAAGAGGAAGTAGATTGTAATAACAATCTATTAAAAGAAAACAGAATCATGATTGGGTTAAAATGCAAGGTATTACTTACTTACTTACTTACTTACTTACTTACTTGCTTACTTACTCACTCACTCACTCACTCACTCACTTACTTACTTACTTACTTACTTACTTACTTACTTACTTACTTACTTACTTACTTACTTACTTACTTACTTACTGCTTGTTTCCCCCAATGGAGCATAGGCCACCGACCAGCATTCTCCAACCCACTCTGTCCTGGGCCTTGAGGATTCCATGTGAGGCCTTGTCTTGTGACGCATTTGGTTGATTTCCTCAATATGTGTCCTATCCACTTCCAACGCTTCTTCCTGATTTCTTCCTCCACTAAAATTTGATTTGTTCTCTCCCATAGTAGGTTGTTGCTAATAGTGTCTGACCAACGGATCCAAACTATTTTGCGTAGACAACTGTTAATAAACACTTGTATCCTCTGGTTGATGGCTTTTGTAGTTCTGAAAGTTTCCGCTCCATACTGTAGAACTCTCTTGATATTTCTATTGAAAATTCTGACTTCATTGTTGGTTGACAGACAATTGTTTCGACTTCCAAATGTTCTTCGGTCGTAAATATGCTGCTCTTGGTTTGCCGATCCGCGCCTTCTCGTCTGCAACAGATCCATCGTGTTAATCACCTTCAGGTCAAAGGCTACGGGTGTGCCTTCTAAGAAAAGCACCTGCTTCGGTCTGGGCACCCGGCCAGTATCACAGCCCTCACACAAATATGATGATTTTTATGTGGCGCATATGTGTCTGTTGCTCCCTTGTACCAAT